AACTGAAAATATGGATGGAGGACAACAGAGCTGCTTCATGGAAGAAGAACCTCAGCTTAGCCTGTTAGCTTTAGCGCTGACGTTATGTTATCCACTGATTACGTTCTAAAAGTTCATTAAAATTCTACCTGTGGTTCATGAGATATTTCAATGACAAACAGGACTGACTCCTACAAAGTTTCAAGCAAATATTTAGTGCAGTAAGTAGTATTTGGTGTATGTGTTGTGAGTGACTTTCAGCTTTAACGCAATATCTGTGATGAACTGAATTAAAGCCATGAATGTGTTTTCTACTGTCACTTAGCTTTGGCAGCCATATTGAATTGAGTTGGCTCCAAAGGTTGATGTGCATCCAGTGATTAGAATTTCACACACAAAAAAAGTATCCTGTGGTTTACAAAACATTTTGGAAACAGACAAAGAAGACGGGGAAGGCCAGAGCATCACTCAGCAACAGTCCCTGAGAAGAAACAAGAATCATGTCTGCACTGAACTTTTGTTTTGAAATTTTTAACTTGMATAGATTTTTGCCTCATTTGCACATTAAACATAAACATACATTTTACATGTGCATATGTGCTTATAATGATGATTAAAGCTTTCCTTTGAAAATACAGTCATATCAAAGTTTTAATGAATTTAAGTAATTAGCACACTCAGAGTACATGACCCTCAGCTATTAACATATATCTATAAAATACACTGAGGTATAGACATTTCAGTGTAGGTTAAAGCCATGTTGAGTCTAAAAGTTAATTAGTTGTAGGTATACAGTATGTCCAATGATTCGCTTTTGGGAGCTTCAATAAAATTAATCCACTGGTTCATGAGATGTTTTGTTAACAAACAAACCAACAAACAAAACACACACACTGACATAGTTACATGATTTCTCGCTACATTATTATATTGTAATTTCATAGTATATATTATTATTCACTTTTGCTTTGGGCCATCTTTGCAGATTATTGTGTTCAGCTCCAAGAAAACAGACAACAAGACAGTCCATTGTGTTTATCCACTGCCTAGCTTCCTGTTTTGTGTCGTAAAGGACGAGTAGAGAAGGTGGCAGGTAGTGTTACAAAAACAAAACCAAGCTGCAAGTCAGAAACGATGAATACACAGGCCCAAAAGCAGATCTTAACTGTTTTAAAATAAAGCTGGGTTCACGGTGAGCCGTGCTTGAAAGATGAAATAGCTTCGCAGGAGTGTTTTGTAATCAATAATGCATGGCTGTCCTTCTTCAGAAAAGAGAAAGCCCCTCCAAACACACCGGAGGCATCAGACACTTTTCATTTCATGCTGAAGGTCAGAGGAGCAGCTTGGACATCCCCACAGCGCAGAACACGAGGAAACAAACACAGAAAGGTTTTACTTGTCTTTATTTGTTGTTCCTCCATACATACATGTGTAGTCGCTTCATTTGTGCACAATTCTGCTGTAGGTTTTGTAAAGAGACTGGTATTTCAGATATGACAAGAAAATATATTTTCTGCAAAGATGCGGTCTGAATACTGAGCTGAATGACCTTGCTGCAGTTTGATAAAGAAGTTGAAACTGAGTTAAAGTTTAAACAAAAAGAAAAGGACTATTTGAATGAAATCAAACTGTAAAAGGAGCAAAACAAGCTAAAAAAAAATAAAGCAAAACAAGAGCTGTGAGTTAAAATGAGCAAACCATTAGAAGCTAAAAGGAGCACTTTATTCACACTCCAGCATAAATACACTGTTTTTTAATCTGCTCCTTTCTTCAACAATCACCACAGCAAACCAACCTGCATTCAGTTTTACACCAGCGGCCCTTTCTGACACAACCTGAGCTTGAACTTGCAGCTTCAGGATTGAGACCACGGCACTGACCACTGAGCTACCACAGCTCCAGGTACAGCCTGAAATATTACACTTACTTAATGAATATGTTTACTGCATGAAAATCCAGTTTGGATATTGATGAATAAGTCGAACAGCAAACAAGGAGCTCACTGATTTGCATTTGGAGCAGGGTGGGGGTAGGAGGCA